CGTCGGCAGTCAGCGGTGCGCGCGTTCGCGGTCGGCACGAAAACGAAAGTGCCGACGGGAGAAAAAGGGGTCGCTGGCAGTCGGCCAGGCCTCGCACTACGCACATTGACTGATACAGGCGGGCCTAGCGATAGCATCGGCCGGTTCGCGATTGTCGGATTTCAGACGATTGTCGGCAAACATGCAGGTCTAGTTGTACGCCACTTGCAACACAATTAGGTCATACAAATGCTGAAGATTAGAGGTGTTACAAGACAATAACAAATACAAAAATAAGGAGGAGAGATAAAGACAACAGATGTTTGACAGAAAGGAGCAAACCACACCAGAGCACCCGCAAACCACCCACTTTTTAAAAGTTTCAGCAAAGAGAAGCACAATGACAGTCTACAAGTGCACGGCGAAAGTAAGACAAAACAGATACATCACAAGAAAGAAAAGAAGTGTGCGTGTGTGTGTGTGTGCATGTAGAACATTGACAACCTCACGAACCTGAGCTTTGACGGAGTCGACCTTGGCCCTGATGAACTTCCTCAACGCGCCGATGTTGACGGCTCGCAGAGCCTCGTCCTTCTTTGAGCGCGCCACCTGGAACTTCACCACGTCGTCTTTCTGCAGGAAGTCTCGCTTGTCGGCCAAGCTGGTGATGCCGTACGGGTATACCTCGTCCGGAAGATCATTCCCCTCTGTCGGGGCAGAACAAAAAGGAACAAGTGAGCACTACAACTGATACAGATATACTTTAGTTGTAGTAAGAGTTTTACGACACTTGCAACATAAGGTTATACAAGTGCCGAAGATTAGAGTAGTTACAAGAGAGTAACAAACATATAAAAGGAGGACAGATAAGGACGATATTTTGATAGGAAAGAAGAAGCATTATCTAAACCCACAAAAGAACATTTTCAGCATTACCTAAACCCTTCAAAGAACATTCCAACATTATCTAAACCATCCAAAGAACATCATCAGAGCACGACCCTCCAAAAAACATTGCCAGAGCACAATCTACCAACCTTCGTCGGTCCCCTGCACAAGTCCGCTGTATTCCTCCTGCTCCGTGTTCACGATTCTCATTGGACGGACGATGCGACCTTGAATGGTGCCCTTGTCACGCACTACCTCCTGGAAACGAAAATTGTTGTGGGCTTCTTCATATATATATATATATATATATATATATATATATATATATATATATATATAACATGAGCATAGTGCAAGACAACAGAGAGATTGAAAAACCATTACATATGTTCAAAATCACACATAAGGAAGAAATGAGGTTGAAAGGCCTCTGGTCTTATGAAGCTCCCTATATAGACATTGTTGAAAATAACATAGGGTGAAATGAGGTTGAAAGACCACTAGTCTTACAGACCTCCAAATATAAACATTGTTGAAAGTAATAGAAAGAGATCCTCTATGTGGGTGGTTGGCGGGTGCTCTGGTGTGGTTTGCTCCTTCTTTCCTATCAAACATCTATCATCCTTATCTCCCCTTCTTCTTTTTATGTTTGTTACTCTCTTGTAACACCTCTATTCTTCTGGCGCTCATATGACCCTATGCAGTTGCGAGTGCCATAAAACCTCTACTAAAACTAAGAACCTCTATGCATGGGCACTGTTAAAGAGTCTTAAGGCAAGAGGTTCAAAGACCACGAGTCTTAACTAACCTCACCCTTCACCATTTGTTCCAAAACACTGCTTTCCTAAGACATTTGTCATTCCCAGAAAATCCCAGTGCCTACCACATCAAAAATGTACCTTCCCACAGGCAGGATTTCAGCATTTGAATTACTTACTTCATATGTTTACAGAAAAAAACTTACGAAAAACAGAGAAGGAAAAGCGATAAGCGAAAAGCATATGAGACTGTGGATCATCACCTGTTCCACTGCACAGCCCTAAATGACATCAGAGCTACCCTTTTACCTCCGAGACCTAACATTGACAACACACTCTACGGAACGTTACAGCAACTGTAGCAGACCTGCACTTATCACTACATGGCATTGGACAGAAGGGCGAGAGCCCGGCTGTTGCTGAATCGATAACAACAACAACATAAAAAATGTACCTTCCCACATGCAGGATTTCAGCATTTGAATTACTTACTTCATAGGTTTACAGAAAAAAACTTAAGAAAAACAGATTTTAAAAAAGCGACATTGAATCTGTTTCAAGAAAAGTACTCATATCGGAAAGTTCAGAGAAAGAACGTGTATAAAGAAAGAGACAAGAATCTTTGTTCTAAGTAAGTTTAGTTTAAAAAGAGGTTTTACAGCGCTCGCAACTGCATAAGGTCATATGAGCGCCAGGAGATTAGAGGTGTTACAAGAGAGTAACAAACATAAAATAGAAGAAGGGGAGATAACGACGATAGATGTTTGATAGGAAAGAAAGAAGAAGCAAACCACACCAGAGCACCCGACAACCAGCCACGTTCTAAGTAAAGGACTCATATTAGAAAGTGTAGAGAAAGAACGGGGGAAAAGAAAGAGACGGAGAACTTTGTTTCAAGTCAAGTACTCACAAGAACAAAATCTTACATTACAGAGAGAACAGACGAAAAAGAGATAGAGCGAAGAGAAAGAAACGGAGAACCCATCTATGCGTCAAGTCCTGCACTCAAGCAGAAAACGTGCGGTCTTACATCGGCTGGAATGGTTCCCTTGTTCAGGCGACGGATGTTCTCGGCGCTCACTTTGCTGCTCTTCCTGGCCAGAGTGTACTCCACCTCGTCTCCCAGCTCCAGCTCGTTCGAGTCTCCTCCCAGCGAACTGAAGAGAGAGGGGAGTAACAAAAAAACTATCAATGGCTCCCTCCAAAGAACATTATCAGCACAATCCAAACCCTCCAAAGAGCATATTTTCAGCATAATCTAACCCCCCCCCCCCCAAAAAAAAACAACAACAACCAGCGAACTGAACAGAGGGGGACAAAAAAAATAAATAAATCAAACAGAACTAAATAGGAGGGTTAGGCTTGACACACTGGCAAAGACATTTTTGTCAAAAAAACAGACAATTTGTTCAATAAAAAATGTATTTTTATTTCACTACACAATCTCCATCCAAACGAGAGGAATAAAAAGAGACAACGTAAATATGAGGCTTACGTTCTTGCACTCTCATTGTGACAGTAAAGGGAAACACACCCACACAATGTAACAGTCCCTCAAAACGGAAAGAAAACGCAGACAAACCCACACACAAACCCACCTGAAATGGAAGAACACTTCCTTCTCGTGATCAGCCGTCTCAATAAAGCCGTAGTTTTCCTTCAGAGTCGCGATAAATCCGTGGCAGCGGCCCGTTATATTTCTCAGAACCACCCGGACTTTCACAGCCTGCTTCTTCCCTGTCGACTTGAGCTCTCCTATTTGAAAGTCCACCTGAAATGTAATTTTTTTTTTTATAGTAGAGGGTTTTACGGCGCTCGCAACTGCATAAGGTCAAATGAACGCCAAGGGGTGGGTGTCAACAAAGAAGTCTTTACAGGGAATCAGACTTATTCTGCTCACCTCTCTAGCTTCAACAGCACAAAGTCTGCTTCGACTATCAAGGCACCCTGGAAATAGCAGGTCACAAGAGAGAAAACCATACAAAAGAAGTAGAGGTAAATGACAATAGTAAGGATTAAGAAAGAAAAAGCAGCAGTTCCCTGTTTTAGATCAGGCACAGCTATGAGCGTGACATGATGAATCTGCCCATTTACAATTCTACTGTGCTTGAACGAGAAAGGTCCCCCCTTTGGGAATATCCTAAAGACACTACAGTCAGTGGCACTGCCCCAACGGGTCACTACAGTCAGTGGCACTGCCCCGGGGGGTGTGAAATGTAAAAAAAACCAACAACACGGTAACCACACCATGTATTACATATGCTGAGATGTCCATCATTCTAATCATGACAGAGCCACAAATCCCCCGTACTCCACTATTGGTCAATTATTCTTTTGTTCAAATAAAGATTTCCGGGAAAGGTTGGTTTTGGTTTGAGTATAGAGAAGCACATCGACACAAAAATGGTCATTTAGTGCTGGGAAAGAGCAAGACAGACAGACAGAAACAACAGAGAGAACGTAAAGAAGTAGGACATACCAGTGGCCCCCCTCCAACCACCCACTTCCAGGAAAGGCACGAGACAGAAACAATAGAAGACAGATTCAATAGATCAAGTTATGTAGAGAACATCAATACACTGTACATATTGTGACAAAAAACACTAAGATAGACTTTTCACTGTTGTTGTTCCACTTAAAGTTGTTACTGTTTTATCACCACCCAGCCTTACTGTCACAGTTCAAATATTCAAGATTCATAAAGGTACGGAAACAATTTACTGGAAAGAAAGACTTTTTAAAAATGACAAAAATACCTTGTCACCAAAGTGTGGGAGGCTGTTTTGGTCTGAAACGTCCTTGAGAAAGTAGGAAATTTGTTGAATTGTTCCTTCGTAATCGTAAATTATGTTGCCTGGCTCTCCTTCTTTGTTTTTACCTGGCAGGTTTGAGACAACAGAAAAAAAGAAATAACACAATGGTTAAAAAAGATGAAGACAACAGAGTGAATGAACAGACATTGAAACAAAGTTGTCCCGAAACCACAGATTTCAAAAGGTAGTTATCCTTTAAATATCAGCAGCATACAAATTCCTTTCCAACAACCTCATACGTTCACAAGAATGTCTGCTGAGTAGGCAAAAAAAAATCAGAGTCCTACATCCCCCCCCCCCCTCAACAAACAGTTTTGAAGAGAAAGACTACATCACACATATTATGATGATTTTTTAAAGTTTTATTAAGTGCTTTACGGCATTTGCAACACAATAAGGTCATATATTATGATTATGCATCATCCCCCTCACAAACCATACAATTCCCTGCCCAGTGTACCTTGGTTTTTATGTGTGGAGGGCTCCTTGTCTATGGTGCCGATGTAGACAGAGGGTAAAACGTTGATGAAAGACACTGATCCCTTCGACAGGTGCTTGATCCGTGTGGCCACCTGGCGAGTCGGCTGGGATGAGTCCTGGCGGGGAAAAAACCAGACACACATCATTAGGTGAGGCAGGACAAAAAGCCGGAAAACTCACACACATTCCTCAATTTCCTCACCACCTATGATGAACAGATGTGATCAAAAACATCATTTACACGCAAGAAATTCAACAGCATTGGATTAAATAACCCTAATCTAATTTTTTTTAAAGAAGAAAAAGAACATACCCAACTTTAAAATATAAAACCAACATGACTAGAAAGAAAAAAAGAAGTAAGAATATAGCTCGCCTTTTTGTCATAGGTCCCATTGCTCCCTTTTCAAAAGAGAAAGATTGATCTTTCCCAGAAAATGAATATCAGTTGATGTACCCAAAGGACATGCACTAACGTAGCCACATCAAACAAATCAACAAAACTTTACCATTACTCCTGTCACAAGCCGTTTGTACAACACACTCCGCAACAAACCAATTTAACATCTTTATAAATAGACACTTCTACCACAAGCGATTCTTTAACACTCCAACAAATCAACATGACAATTTTATAGACACTTCTACATATTAACATTCCTTGCACACATAACCTTCCGGAAAGTGTTCTAGTACATTCAAGAAAGTGTTCTAGAATGTTCAAACAACTCACTGAGACAGCTTATACAGACATTTTTCTCACAAGCGCTTCGTGCGAGGAGCGCGGCATACCTGGTCCACAGTGAACTCCAGCTCATCTTGAAGGCGGGGGTTGTAGGTGAGGTCCATGAACTCACTGAAGTGAAAGAACATTCTGGCGTCTCTATCGGCGCAGTAGATAAACCCGTAGCCGTCTTTTAGTGCTGCAATCAATCCCTGAGGAGAAAAAAATACACAACTTGCATTAGTAGAGAGAAATAAGGATATCCTACCAGAGAAAAACTGCATCTCCCCTCGATGCTTAGCGGCAACAAAGGATGAAAAAGTAAAATAAGGAATAAGGATGTAAGAATAGTAAATGACCAGGCTTGTCAACTTGAGAAGAACCTTTTCACGGACATCCACAAACAAACATCAAGCTCTCAAATTCCTGATTTCTGAATCCGAGACAATCCCACGAAATTCTTGACAGTTGGCAAGCCTGAATAATCAAAACTCGAAGAGAAATATATATAAAAACAAATGATTAAAGCACAACCCTGAAGGGAAATATAATATAGAAATAAATAATAAATGGTTGATCCAAATGAGAACAAGTAAAATAGAAACAAATATACAACCCCTATGAGAAATACAGACAGTAGAATCAAATAAATAAGCCACAAAGGAATCACAGGTAAAAAGCAAAGCAAACCACTTTGAAAATCTTCTTCCAACGTTACAGAAAACAATAAATCATCTTTTCTGGTCATTACACTTCTGTCAAGTCAAAACCATTTAACACTTTGCCGTCACATTTCGCCAATCGGCGATGTTTACCACCCAGTTTCTTTGGATTTTTCCCAAAATACCTTTGTCTTTGATGGCAAGGGTTTTTATTATACGAGCCTTGTGATGGCAAAGTGTTAAGAGTTTGCATTTAAGCATTTCTTGTCTTTGAAATAAAATCACATTAAAAAAACCAGGAGCCACTCACAGTCTCTCGTATCTCCCCTGAGTATTCGAAAGTGTCCTCCATTAGGGCTATGTTGGTGGCTCTCTGCAGCTTGTCTCGTCTGTCGGTGGCGATCTGGAACTCGACCGAGTCCCCCTGGAGAAGCGTGCACTCACCGCGCTGGTCCTTCTCTCCAAACGGGATCTCGATCAGTCTGGTCGGGACACAGAAAAAAAAACGTTTTTGATTTGTTTTGTTTGATTAAAAGGGACCACATCATAACGATAACAAGCGGGGGGACGGACAGAAACAACAAAGGGAAAGAAAAGAAGTTGGCCCTATCAGAGGAAGGCAACATTACTCTTAGCAAAAGCAATTGTGCTTTTGTCTCACTGATATGCAAGCAAACGCATAAACACAGATTTGTTACCCCTTTGAAGTTTCATACATAATTCTTTCAGTCTCTTACCAATTGCAGTCTCATATGTAATTCTTTCGTTCACTTACCCTTTTGGAGTTTCATACATAATTCTGCCAGCGAGAGCCTCGCTGGGTCGTCTGTTTGTTGACTTAATCATCTTCAGTATTTTCCCCTTCACCGTCTCGACAGCTATGTCCTCAAAGATCACAGTTCCCTCCGGTAGACGTTCTATCTCCACAGCCACTTCTTTGTTCTGAAACAGAAACAAAATATTTCTATATAAAAAAAACTTGACACAATTTGTGGTACTTTCTCTTGAGTCAATAAATAGAACAATTAGCAATTAAACCTTTCACTTTCCTTTAGCCTTACAAAAAAAAATATGAACAGAGATCTTTATTAAAAATTTGAAAACCCAACAAAAAAAAAAAAAAAAAAAAAAGGAATCATGGTTACAGAGTATGCTTAATATTTTCAGACACTACAAAACACTGAACACACACAGCAATTAGAAAGCCAATTATTGCAACCAACAACCCCCCCCCCCCCCCCCCCTTAAAAAAACCCATCATCATCACTTACGTTTCTGAACTGCACACCAAAAGAGACGTCATCTCCCAGGATGAGCTCACTGATATCTCCCTTGAACTCGCTGTAGTGGAAGAAGATCTCCTTCACGATATCTGCACGCTCGATGAAGCCAAATGTGTCCTTCATGGAACACACCACGCCGAAATAACGCTGTGTGGCAGACTCCAGGGACTCGACGTTGCGAGCACGGATCTTTCCATCTCTGAAACACAAAGAACATGGCATGGGCATAACAAATTGTACGAAATAGTAGGATTTTTATATGGACAAATAAAACATACGGATCTCTGAAACAGGAAGGAAACAGATATAACAAATTATTTTTTTAAAAGAACCGTTTTGGTCACATTTAAACATTATCAAACATTAAAAAATCAGGCTACATAATGGGAAAAGTAAAAAAGACACAAGATTAGGAGAATCCATGAGCCAAAGAAACTTACACCTAAAGTATCAGCAGATAAAACGCTATTCCTGTTTGAGCATATTATTTCATTTGCAGATGCAAGTTGCCGATTTTTCCATTATTTCAGCACTTTCCTTTCAAAAACATTGTACCTAATCTTGGTCTTACACACAACTCTTTTACTCCAACTAAATCTGGATAACATGAATGAATATATGAAAGAAAAAAAATTTTTTCTTTCTTTAAATCACATGACACACATAGAGGTTTTATTCCGATGTACTTAGTTCTATCATGGATCCTTCACTGCAAGTATTTACTTTCCAAATCAAGATTTCCTGGTCTAAAAAGAAAAGAATTGTCTCATCAGTGCCTTATATCACCCACTTCTTTTTCATCGACGACTCACATTGAGATAAGCACACACGTTACATACATCAATGAGCACAAGAAACACACACTGGAACCACGACTCACCGTTTATCCGTAGCGATCTGAAAACACACATCCTCTCCAGTCTTGGGCGCGGTCGCGTGTGAAGCCACCACATCCTCCAGGCCGTAAGGCAGGAAGAAACATTCACCGTTGTGGACATAGGTCACTCGGCCCAGGCCATCCTGAGCTCCTGGGACAGTGCCCTGGTAAAGGAGCAAGTCGATAATCTTTGAGACCAGAAAATCAAGTCATCCAAAGGCATCGTATTTTTGGTTGTTGTTTTTTTCAACCCATATCCCAGTAAAAAGGATTGAAAAGAGTTCAGAGCCTTTTCCTTGGTATAAGGGTTAAAAAAAACCTCTTAAAATATACACTCTCTTTTCTTAAAATTAAATAATGTCAAAAAAAAATAATTTTTTTAAATGCACTTCAAAGGACACATGCAACATGAATGAATGAAGTGATAACACAAGGGACAGTACCCATAATTCAATGTATCTCGTGGAAGAAACAAACAGACCAGTCACAAGCCCCAGACAGCTACCACACTGACATTTTTCTGCTTCAAGAACTTTGTTCAACAGTCATCCAGCAGAACTGAGAACCCAAAAGACTAGTTAAGCCCTGGTATGCAACAGATTTTTCTTCAACTTCTACAATATCTTAACCCTTTCACCCTCAGAGCTATCCCTGCCCAACAAGGCTGAAATTCTGGCAAAAGGGACCTAACTCCGCTTAGACTGCATGACTATATTATTTTTAAAAATCATTAAAAATCAGAGGATGAGTCTAAAATTACAGTTTAGGTGTCAGAGCACAGATAAATGAATAAACTACAAGAAAATGTATGGTTTTGTACGAAAAATCATTGTGTATTAGGTAAAAAAAAATTCTGAAGTGAAAAAAACAAACCAAAAGACACAACCCGCTTTTTTTGCCCGCAGAAGTTCATGTTTTACCTAGAACAGCCTTTTGCAAGGCCTAACCTGGCCCAATTTGCATCCTGTCACTGTCTCACTCCCTCTGCCTAGCTTTGTAAAGTTTCTGGTCTTAACACAGTAGTGGCACGACCCCTTTTACCATGTATCCTGATTACAACATGCTCTAAAGGATTTGTTGTGACAGAGCCCACAGTCCCAGTGTTGCTCCTCCCTTTTTTACGTCGTAGTGCAGCAAGTATGTAGTACTAGATCTAGCTAAAGTGCTGTGGGTGCTAGGCCTATCTTCTTCATCAGTCTTCTAAATCATCACCTCCAGCAACGATCTCACCATCAACATCACTATCATAGTTGTTCCCCTCCCCCTAGAGCCTAGATCTAGACCTGCTACATCGTGTTCGCTCTCCTACTATAGTTCTCGCTCTCTCTCTATCTTTCACGATTGAGTGTCCGAGTGACTACTTGTACTACTAGCACTAGATCTAGCCCCTTGGTCGACGATATCGGCATTTAAATCCCAATTATAAGTGTCTCCATCGTATACAGTGCCTGTAGCGACGCAAAATTTCATCCACGAAGTTAGATTTAGGTCTCTAAAAAGCACGAAATTAAAAAAATCGCCGCTCTCGCGTGCTTCGATCGATTTTCACCAAATAAACACGACAGTAAAGGGCAACCACTCTAGATTATCGCTATAAGCTCGGCAATCTCGTGCGACCTCGCAGGAAGCGAGACAACGTAGAAACGAAAGTAGTGCAAACGGGTGAATCGAGTGGGCGTGTCGGCGCACATCGGCGACAACGGGGGTTAGTGATGACGGCGCACATCGGCGCCTCCTAGTGGCAAAAGGCTAAACAGACATCTGCAATCATGATTTGCCACTCGCTTCTTCGTTAAGATGCTCAGGAAAAAAAGACCAAAAAAGAAAGAGAGAGGTAAAAAAGAATAATAAAAAACACGATCTTGGTCTTTTCCAGTCATCCATCCATTCAAATTCTGTAAATGAGTCACTATTAGTTCATCTCGGCCACTTGTACTCAAGCACTCACATTTTTCTGCTTCACAGGCTTTGCCTCCTGGACGATGGTCCCTTGAACTTTCTCCTCGTTCACAATCTCGGGGGAAACTGTGGACGGGTCGACCTTGACCACGCTCACAGCCACTGGCTTGCCTGTTCTCCGGTCAAAAGACATTTGAAACTCAACAGCCTCTGCAAACAGAAATGAAAGGATGGATGGTTCAGAGAAACCATTACAAAGTCATGACACATTACAACAGAGAATGCACACAGAACTGGAACTGACGGTCACAACAAAAGAAAGTAAAGACAAAGAAAGGTCATCTTACGGTGGACTACAACAAATTACAGAAAAAAGACATTGTCGCGCAAAAGCAACCTTTACTTAAATAAGTCCACAAATATAATTAGTTTTTTCTGTCTCACCCCCATTGTACCTACACCAAGTGAAACCAGTTTTCCTTCACCTCTATAGAATGGCTAAATAACAAAAGCAAACACTGACAATTAAAAAATGACTTCTCTCTTGGAACCCTATTCATCTCTCGTTTCATCAAAGTGAGTTACCCCCCCCCCCCCCCAAAAGCATACGCCACACACTGACTGAATAGACAGCAAAAGGAAAGGGCACACTGGAAAAGGATGTAAACAGGAGCCTGATATATCTGTAAGTAATAAGCTGTTTGCATATATTTTCAAACACACCACCATCTCCCAACACTCTGAAAAATGATCATTTTACTGTTCAGTATTGGCGGATTCTTACCTCCAACCTTGAGAGCCTCCACGTTGCCATTGAACTCGGAGTAGTGGAAAAACAGTCGTGCGTCTCTCTCGCAACACTGGATGAATCCATAGGAATGCTGGAACGTACCGGCAAGAAAAAAGAAAACCCATTATATAAAAGTGAAAAGAGTACAGACCAGGGAGGCAGGTGACACGCGAGCCACGCATTGTTTTCTTTGCTTGTACACCCTACTTTTAAAGTAGAGACTATATTTAACCAACAAACTAAAACATTGAGTAGACCAGCAGGTCACCCCCCCCGAAAAAAAAAAACCTGCTTGCTTTCTAGTCCATTTAGGCATTTATCCCTTGCTTAACAAAAGAATATTTTTAAAAAGGTGTACAGTCAACTTTTACCAACCCAATAATCACATTAAAAAAGTAATGAAATCATAATGTCAAGCTATAATCTTTCAAGCATTTGACAACTTTCCTTGATATATTAGGTTCATGAAACTGACTGACTTAAAAGAACTTTTCCCAAGTTCTGAGACCTTTTCTTTGCCCTTTCTGAGGAGCATGACAAAAGGTCATATAAATCAAACCTGTCAACCACCCACATAAAAGTCAAGACAAGAATGAGTAATGTAAAGGATACGACACAACAGGCACACGTATTGTAGTTAGTTTTAGTAAGAGTTTTACGGCACTTGCAACACAATAAGGTCATATAAGTGCCGAAGATTAGAGGTGTTACAAGAGAGTAACAAACACAAAAAAGAAGGATGGGAGATCGAGACGATAATATTTGTTTATAGGAAAGAAGGAGCAAATCAAACCAGAGCACCCGCCAACCACCCATCATGTATTGTAAAAGGTAAGGTTAAAAACAAGAGCACTGTAAAAGGTAAGATAAAAAGCAAGAGAAGTGTGAAAGGTAATATAGAAACAGGAGCAGCGTCCGATATCGGTTCTATACAAATGCCATGGGCTCATACCTGCTTCTTGTCTATGAGTCCTGTCTCTCTGAGTCTGGGGTACCCCTGTGCCGTCTGCTGCATATCAATGTTCACAACGCTGGGGTTTGGATGGATGGCAATGATGGCGGGATCCTGGACGGGCGGCTGGAATTTCTGCAAACAGAAGACAATTCAGATTTCTAAAAATAGCAGAACAGACTTCTCGCAAGATTATCAATATCCTTGATCTTTCACAGTATCTCACTGTAATATGTTATACGAATATCGCATTTAATAGTAATTAAACCCTGTTGTCACACACACATGTCTGCACCCAATAAATTAAAGCTTTTCAGGCAGCCTTGCAGTAAAAGATCTCTCCGACTGACTTATGGACTTCCTTCTCATTAAATATTATTTGCAAATCTGGTTTTGAAACTTCATAATTTGTCCTCAGCAAATCTACAAGGAACAATACTAGAAATCAAAATACATATATTTTCTGACACAAAAACGAATTTCCATACACAGACCTTCAAAGATATATGAAATACGTTTTTATAAAAAAAACATATATTGGTTAGCAGAGAAGTAAATATGTCCAGACATCACCACTCTACCTCAAGACAAAAACGTGAACCACTCACCTTCCACTGAGGACTTGGTTTCTTTGTTACAGACATTGACGAAACCTTTGTTCAAGCCAAAGTCTTTAATATGGCTTGGTAAGAAAATCTGCCTTCACTTACGTCAATCCACACATCAAAATGAGAAAATATCTTGATTTGCCTCTTATGAAAACTTGTTTCTTTCTTGCTATCCTCTGCAGTCCTCAGATGTACAGTGAGTGCAAAGTACTTAATGAATGGGCACAGCTACTTGAGTCTTCAATGCTATGACTGGTAAGCTACTTATGTTACAGTGCAAAGAGTGATATCCTGATCCGTGCTTTAAGCGTCTGTGTCGATTGTTGTGAATTTGGAAATGTGCTGGGAAAAAAAATGAAAAAAAAGAAAAGAAGTTTAGCATGACATCAAAAAAAGAATTAAAAAGGGCAGCAACTCACCTGGCATTTGTAGCACTGCCGTAAAGTAACATAATATCATTTAATATGTGAGGCAGCATGGTGAAATCAGGTGCTCGTCAAAATAAGGAAAGTAAAGAAACTAACACCTTTTCGCTGGCTTGGCACTTTTTATTGAAATTTGTTTTGGTTTTCTGTGTCCTTTTAAGAACCCATTCCAGTGTGAATTATATTGAAAAACGATTAACAGCACAACAAATGTAAATTGTCAGTTTTCACGGACGCTGAGGCTTTGTCTGGCGACCCCCCCATCTCATTCAATCGCAACTATCTCGACATGTATTAAAGATAAATGGGTAATTCTTTCATGGAAACCAAGGCAAATGAACAAACTTTAACTCTTTAAGCCCTGAGTTTTTTCCACTGTTTCCCAGAGTTTTTTTTCTACAGTCACCTAAACCTAGTGCAGTATGTCTCATTATTCATTATAACCCCAAAAGCTTGCCTCCAACTTCTAAATAGCATAAACAAAGGCGTAGTCATTACTAAAAAACTTGGTTCGGGAACAGTTCCGAAAAACAAGCAAAATCTAGCACAAAATAAAACAAAACAGTTGTCTGTAGTACTGGAAGCTCCCAGCGTCCGATGGGGTTCAAAAAGTTACGGGGATACCAATAACTCCACATGCCCAAAAATAAACTAGCGCTTGATGCCACCGCGTCATGACACATATCACATAATAAAACCCTTGACCATGGACTCTTGACAAATTTCCAGAATCGCTATAGGGTGTGCAATTCAAATGAGCCGAATGAAGAGGGGG